TTACGTTTTTATATTCCCATGCTCTGGTACTGTTTGGTTGCTCAGAAAATGGTAGGAATGTGCGATCTGTTGTCAATAACTTTTATTGGGCAAACTCGTGTGGATAGATCTGAAACTTTTTTGTTTTAAGAAACAGAGGATTATGATAAAGAAGATAGATCTGAAGGATTTATTGTTCTTTGTTTTGTTTTGTTTTATGGGCTTAACCCAAAACCTCATCTTTTCCATTATGGTAGCAACCCAGATGAGCAATAGTTGAGTTCTTGTAGCTGATATATATGTGACTGTTTTGGTTTGGATCTGATCTGATTAGATATAGTGCAACAAATTCTCCTTGTCACTGATGATTGGGATTGTGTGCTTTTAATAGAACTTCAATGGTTTTTCATATCATTTATGCGCTTTGCTCATGCTCACTTAGTTAAAGTGGAAAAGGCCAATGTGGTTACTTGCTTGTTTGATTTTGTGATTTTTTTGTATTCACGGTATGTATGACTATGAAAAATCCATTTTAACCCTCAATGAAAGTTTCTTTATTTCCTCTTTAATTACTTCCTTTGTTTATTCTTTAGCCAACTCTTCAATTACTTTCAAGTGTTATAGCCTCATATTAGTTTTGCTTCAAGCTTAATTTGTTGTTACGCTGGAACTATAATCATAGATTAATGTTGTATTTAAATGTTTCTATATGCTGATTGTATTTTTTTCTCTTTCTTTGATCTATGCATCATGCCGTACGGAGAACTAAGTTGACTTGTTTATTGACAGATATGATATCAAGCCGAACAATGCCATTCTTGCTGAGGACAAGCACCTGCCCATGTAATTTCAGTTCATTTTTGGTTCTCATCCTTACTTTCTTGTTTTCTTATTAAATCACCTTGGTTTAGTGCTGAGGACAAGCACCTGCCCATGTAATTTCAGTTCATTTTTGGTTCTCATCCTTACTTTCTTGTTTTCTTATTAAATCACTTTGGTTTAGAAAAATGTTGTCTTTTATTTCCATAGCTTCCAGTCAGTAACTAAAACCAATTAACTTTCCCTGTTTGAACCCCATATCTTCTTATTGGCAAAAGGTGTTAGTTTTCTAATCTGTAAGCTCTATGTTTATAAGCTCCTCTTAGAGGTTCATTTAAACATAACATCATGATTGGTTTCTGGCATTTGCAACTTCCTGGAATATTGCATTTGCTTATTCAATCTTTGTGGATGGTTTTTCACAGGTCCTGTAAGCTCTATGTTTATAAGCTCCTCTTAGAGGTTCATTTAAACATAACATCATGATTGGTTTCTGGCATTTGCAACTTCGGAATATTGCATTTGCTTATTCAATCTTTGTGGATGGTTTTTCACAGGTATGAAGAAATGGCTTCCAAGTCCAATGTAGAGTATATTGCTGGAGGTAAGTTGATAAGTTGTTCTCTTTGGTATTTGGTGATGCCATTTTTATGATCTTGTCTACAAACTTGCTTGATAATAATGCCTATTTTTCTATCCTTTGCAATCTGTTGACTAATGCACTATATGTTTATTGTGCTCTCTTTAGGTGCTACTCAAAATTCAATTAAGGTTGCCCAGGTTTGTTTACGTATTTTTAAGAGAATTTTGTATTTTATTTAAGATCTGATTCAATCGTATTGTACTGATAACAAATCTCAATTTCTGTGTTATTTTGTTACAGTGGATGCTCCAAGTTCCTGATGCGACTAGTTACATTGGATCCATTGGGAAGGACAAATTTGGAGAAGAGATGAAGAAAAATAGTAAACTTGCTGGTGTTAATGTGAGTTTCTCTACATCTTCACCTACCCTACTGATCCCTCAGCTATCAAATTATTTTGAGTCAAT